TATTTGAAAAATAATGTGTTTTTTGAACATTAAAGCATGTCAACATATTCTGTTACACCAAATACACAAAATAATGATCTTTAAAAAAGCATCATATGACCCCTTTAAAATGCACCTACTACAAAGAAGACCAATAAGACGGCATTATAAAATAGAAAAGTGCGCTTTGATTTTTGAATGGCAAAGACGTGCTCACCCACAGACATTCACAGGTTCATTTTGAGGTATTAGCAAAACAACAAAGCTGATGCTTTTCACGGCGATTGTTTTGGCACGGATCCGAGCGCGATTGCCGTATTCACATATGCACATATATCACATATATCCGAAACAACAGGCCAGGTGTGAAAGCACCCTAAGACGATTAAGAAATCGTTCTTATCAGCTCATTCAAAAAAAAAAAAAAAGATAAAATTACAAACAGGACCTTGCCGTACAATACTGCCCATATAACAGTGTTATTTTAGTATCACTGATTTACTATTAGGGCTTCACGATTATGACAAAAATCACAATTGTCGATTATTCCCTTGAAATTGCGATTATTAATTATGATTATCACAATTTAAACAAGCTGAAAACACTCTAACTGAAAAACTTTTATTGCTTTTCTATAGTACTAAGCCTCAAATGTCATATATACATTGGTTTGATTTCTTTAAATAATAAAACATTTTTAAATTTACATGGTATTATAATGATATATTAAAACTAAAATTAAAACAATGGAAAAACTCTTATGATAACCTGTAGAAAGAAAAAAAAACATCCTAAGCACACAGAATAACATAAGTGGACTTTAAACGATTAATTGCCGCTGTGAACGATTACGTAATCGTGGCATCCGTAATTGTAATCACGATTAGAAATTTGATTAATTGTGCAGCCCTATTTACTATTACAGATTTTATTCATATTTTGAATTTTGTTTTGGTTATAATTTTCATTCAAGTTTTAATAATTTTGTTGCAGGTTTTTGTAATAAAAAAAAAAGTCTATATAGTTTTTGGTCATTTTTTTCTTCATTTTTTTTCTATTTTAGTACTTTAAGTTAAACTAAACAAAAATGAGAAATACTGTCTTGGCAGCTAACTGAAGTTTTATTATTTTTTATTTCAGTTATTGTTTCTTTTATTTCAATTAACAATTTTTGTAATGTTTTTTTTTTAGTTTAGTTAGCAATATCCAGGCCACACAGAACCCTGTAAAATCTGTAAATGCTGCAAATTAACAGCCCAAACGCTTGGATACTGAAATTTCAACATACTATTTAACCTTTCAACTTCTTCCATTTACCCCATAATTTGCATATTTGATTATGACAATTAGCTAATTTACATGACTCACGACTGACTCATTTGGCAAGCTAATGAGAACAAACAGCATACATTTCACCGCCTGAAACATTTTGCTACGACAAGATGCAAATGAATTAGTCACAGATAAGCTTTACACCCCAACCTAACCTTACTAAGATAAACACGGTTAATCAGCTCCTCTATTACAGCGGTAAATAAACAGAGCTCATACAATAAGAGCCTTGGGGAGTGGGCTGAGGGGTCGGAGAGCCGAAAGACCCCTTTCTCACAGAACAGCGCTAATGAGCTTCAAACCCACAGAGATTTGTGCCGCCCTATGACCCAGAATACCCACTTAGCGCCAAGGTTTTAATAGGCCAACATGGGGCACCTATGCAAACAAACAATTCAGGTCTATTCATGCCACTTGTGGATTTCATACATATAGAAACACACTGAAACCCTATATTGTCACAGAAGGAACCACTCGCTGTCCTTGACATACCAGAGCTTGTTATAATTTTCTTCAGCTCCTACAAAGATTCTTCTCCAGAACTGAAGTGTCAAACTGCCCCTTATGCAACAGCACTGCGGTAATTGCTCAGTTACGTAGGCCACAGCGTGCTGATGCACTGGACACTGCACTGGGAAGGTACTCAAACTTCATCAGTACAGGAAATCATTTTGTTGATAACCTTCCAGATCATCTTGCAAGAATTTTCACCCACTTCCTGACCATTATTTTGTGAAGAAAGCCTACCCAATCAGAATCAAGATTTTTTCAAATTTGATGTCTAGACCAGTTAGATCCAAGTCTAACCCCATTTGAACATCTTGCATATTTATTAGGTGACTTTTACCTGCTCCAGCTCCTCCTCTGCATATTTCTGTCGGCTCAACTCGTTCTCAGTTCCCTCTCGGAGCTCCTTCAGTCTCTGCGCTTCTTGTTTGGCAGCGTTGATCTCGTCCCTCAGCTTCTGCTCCAGGTTTACCTTCTCCACCTCCACTGAACGATGCTCCTCCTGAGCGATCTGTAGCCTGTGTAAAGAAAACCACACACATTCTACCAGTACAAAATGTTTTCAAGAGATTTTTTTTGCTTGACTGCAGTTCAAAAGTAAAGAAAATGTAGCCAGCAGGGTAAAACCAACAACTTTAGGATCAAGCAGAAGTCAAATGGTTGTTTTAGCAATGGGCTGAATGAAATACAAGTGGTAAAGCATTTCTACAAATGCTAGGCGCTCACCTAACAAGGCTCGCTTTAGGGTGAAATGTTACATAACGCAATTAATATTCATGAACCAAGCCACATCTGGCAAAGATTGTGCACTAGACTTTCAAAGGAGAAAAGACATGAACAACAGAAGTCATTCAAATGTGCATTTTTATATGCAAGATGCATTCCTGTAGATCAAACAGCAAAACATGTTATGGGTTTGATTCCCAGTGAATGCATGAACTAATAAATGCATTCCTTGAATGTAACGCAAGTCACTTTGGATAAAAGTGCTTGCCGAGTGCATAAACGTAGATGCAGTTACACAGTAATATAATACACTTTATTCAGTAGAAAATTATTTTCTCTTCTATACATAAAATTCAATTGGAAATTATGTTCTTTTGAACTTTCCATTTATTAAAGAATCCTGAAAAAAAAAAACGTCAGAAAAAAAAAAAAAACATCCAAAAACAGAATGTGCATAAATTTGAGCAAAATTTAAATAAAATAAAAAAATAAAATAAAATATTCAGTTCAGAAAAAAAAAAATCTGAAAACAGAATGTGCATAATTCTGGAGAAAGAAATAACTGATAAAATAAAATAAAGTAAAATAAAATACTCCGTTCAAAAAAATATCTGAAAACAGAATGTGCATAATTCTGGAGAAAGAAATAACTGATAAAATAAAATAATATAAAATAAAAAATAAAACACTCAGTTCATAAAAAATATCTGAAAACAGAATGTGCATAATTCTGGAGAAAGAAATAACTGATAAAATAAAATAAAATAGTTCAGAAAAAAATATCTGAAATCAGAATGTGCATAATTCTGGAGAAAGAAATAACTGATAAATTAAAATAAATTATGATTTCAAAAAGGTCACACTGAAAAAAATGTTTAATTCATCCAATTAAAAAAAAATAGGGTAATGATTCACATCTATATTTTTTAACTTGAGCCAATGAAAAATAAATAACTTAAGGGCAAGTATATTTTATATGTGTATGAAAACTATTTTATAAAAACCCTAATTTTTTTTAATTGGATGAATTAATTTTTTTTGTTTTTCAGTGCACCTATTGGCCAATTAATTGGCTTGACTTATATACTGGTCTATCATTAACTGCAAATACTCATTTTGGTAATAAGTTGTGGGAAAAAAATGGTTTAACAAGTTTTTGTAATAAAAAACAGACACAAAAACAGGTCATCATAAAAATCCATTATAAACAGTCCACCTGCAGGATAAAAACTCTAAAGATTAAGAAGCCACAATCATAACACAATCCTTGCTGTTTGCCTGCGTTTATTATGTCTGTATGCACAGACATATATATACTGTATATGCAGCCATAGTCACATGAAGTTTTCACACACAACTGCAGTACGTTCAGTCAGCCAAAAACTGCATTCACAGGAAACTCTGATTGCAAAACTAGGGTGCGGCTTTAAAAAGAAAAGAAGCAGAAAAAAAAAGCTGATGTCATATCGAGCAGGAAAGAGGAATGGAAACAACACTGACAACTCTAGGCTTCCCTGAGCTACGAAAGGATTAACGAGTTTTCCTGGCGACAGAGAGAGGAACCGCAGGGCCCCTGATTTACTCAGTCGCATCTATATAAAACCTCCGATCAATCTTCCCTTAAATCTGTCTGGGGGCTTCACTTGAGGCATTTCCACTGGCAAAAATTTAGGGGACACTGGAGTGCCTCAGGAGACACAATATCAATTGCTCCTGGGATTATAAGTAGCATAATTCGTTACAGGGAATTAAACTTTTAAAATGAAGCTTAAATCAGATTGACTTTGTATACATCACCTGTTTGAACTCACGGTGGGTCTGTTTTGAAAACTTTGTTATTGTTAAAAATCAATTTCTCTATGGAGAAAATGAATGGGATTTTGGAATGAATACGGTTGCTGTATGGCTCATGCGGTGTCACTGACATCCAGAAGATGGCAGACAGAAGGCTTCGGAGGCCTGACGGAAAGAGAAACAGGTGGATTGGGGGAGAAGTGGTCATTGAGTGAAGGACTAGTGTAAGGTGATCTGGACCTCCAGTCACGACCGAACATCTTCAGCACTCAATCCTGACCTCTGCCACTCACCATCCTCTAAATCATGTAATCGTACCTCAGTGTTACAAGCCAACAACAAATATCTAGCAAGACAAGTCTTCTCATTTACAATCTCAAACTCTTTATGATCATGTAATCAGGAAGCTTTAAAGTTTTCATCGTTTTCGAATCTTTCAATTACCAACTTCTCCATACTCAAACAAAACATTTCGTCTGACCTGTCATCTTTGCTTGAGCTCAAACGACGATAGTTTGTTTTACTCACACATTCAAACAAAACATTATTTTGTGCTGGTGACAGTACAGTTATGAAAACAAAAGACACAACACACAATAGACTAGACTATGCATGCAATGATTCATTCAATTCTTCTTTTATTCCTCCCCCACAAACGTGCACCTGCAAGCTTAGATAAACACGGTTCGCTGTGAAGAACATTCTCTCACATCTGATTTTACGAGGGTCAAACATGTGAGAGTTGTGGGAGAGAATGAGGATGGTCTCTAAGAATGAGAGTCATGTGAGCTTGCCTCAAATACACTAGAGAGAGAACTAAAATGAAATTCTCAATACTATTAAAAAAATAATGCCAAGTAATAAACTCTCAATGTAATCTGTCCCAGAGTGTCAGTTACAGTGAAGACAAGTGAAGACAGCTGTACAAGTACTTTCTCTTAAACTCTTTTGTTAAAGCTAAAATGAAAGCCAAAAAAAGAGAAATAATTGTATTTATGAAAATAAATAAAAATGTGAAATAATCTAACTTCAATGTTTCTGAAGTCTCTAATGCCCACCAAGGCTGTAATTAGTTGATCAAAAATACAGTAAAAAAATAAATATTGGTAAATATTGCCATTTGAAATAATGGGCCCTATCCCTATCATACACCCGGCGCAATGCGCGGCGCAAGTGTTTTTGCTAGTTTCAGCCCGACGCAGTTCTCATTTTCCCATCCTGCGCCGCGTTGTTTAAATAGCAAATGCATTTGCGCCCATGGGTGTTCAGTGTTCAGGCGCATTGTTGGCGCGTTGCTATTTTGAGGAACTGAAAATAGACTGCGCCACAGACCAACTCAAACCTGGACGCTGAGTGCACCCGCGCCGTGCGCTTTAGACCATGTGCTTAGATCGTTAAAATAGGGCCCCATTGTTTTTTTTATATGAATATATTTTAAAATGTAATTTAATCCAGTGATGCAAAGCTGAAAGAAAGAAAGAAAGAAAGAAAGAAAGAAAGAAAGAAAGAAAGAAAGAAAGAAAGAAAATGTTTTAGTAAGCAAGGGTGCATTAAATTGATAAAAAATGACTGAAGACATAACATTACAAAAGATTTCTATTTTAAATAAATGCAGTTCTTCTGAACTTTCTATTAATCAAAGAATCCTTAATCCCGCTCCACGGGAACCGGAGCTGATCGCGGCCACCCTTGCTTGTGTTTATACTGGCCAGCCGCAGCACGTTTGTGAAGTGGCTCTCGGCGCTGCTTGGCTAAAAATAATCTTTTCTGAGTTGTCACAGCGTGGAGGACGGAACAAAACCTCATCGGAGCCGTAAGGGGTAACGGTAACATAATACGCTGATCGTGGGCTGCTTTTAAATGAATATTTATTTATAAAACAAAATAACTTCTTTGGCCATATTAGCCGGAGGACGGAACAAAACCTCATCGGAGCCGTAAGGGTAACGCGGTAACATAACACGCTGATCGTGGTCTGCTTTTAAATTAACATTTATTTATAAAACAAAATATCTTCTTTGGCCATATTAGCCTACTCAATAGCAATAACACAGGCTTTACTTCTTTTAAACTTTACCTGGAATGGCACCGTTTCTGTCACTGCAACTTCCCAATCAGGCGAACGAACACACACACACGAAATTGTCTACCTCATGAAAAAAAATTATTTAAAAAAAATGTAGTTAATATTTGCATCATTTATGATTTATTTTATCCACCCGCGTCCCACCCTGGAGATACAGAGGTTTCCCCAGTAACGGCTGTACACAAAGCAGCGCTGAGCTCACAAAC